GTATCACACTGTGTATCAAATGTGTATCACATGTATACCTGTGCGTGAAATACATGCATTGATACATGCGTCGCATAAGAATTTTTTGAACTTGATTTTAGTTACGAATTTTGATACCAAATCAGTCCAAATCACCTCCAATCTTCCTCAAATTTGTATATTGACTTATATATATGTTTTCAATGAATTTCAATCCTACCCATTGAAAAATATTCTTTTTTGCTTAAATTTTTGGAATGTTATATATATATATATATATATATATATATATATATATATATATATTATTTTTATTTTTTTGTATTTCATCATCTTATTTGCTACCTCATCCATTAAATTTCATTTCCGTCTTGCATCTAATGTTGTTGATCACGCTTAAAAATATGGAAGGAGATCTTTGCGTGTGATTCTTGGAGAGAAAGAACCTTATTTATTTGGATTTTCAATTTTTATATGTGCTTGGCTAGTTTTGGTAAGTCTATGATTAGTCGCTAGAGGTTGGTAAGTTGTGACTTATTTGGGACATTTATGTAAGATTCCTACACGTCTTGCTTTTAATGTTATATCGGGAGTTACTCCACGTATTGCTTGACGTAAAACGGATAGTGGATTTGTTTCTGTCTTTTGTTGAATCTTTTTCACGGCACGATAGATAATTTGATAAGCCAATGATTTTTTTCCGTGTTTCAGAATACGGTTAACCAACATGTTAACTAATCGATTACGATAAATTGGATCGGATTTTGCTGTTTTTTCTGCAGTACCTCGACGTGACATGAGCGTGAAAGGGGTTCAAGAATCAGTTTTCTTTTTATAAGGGCTAAAATCACTTATTTTGACTTCTTATCCCAAAAAAAAAATTCAAAAGTGGATACATATTAAATAGAGGCGACCAAATAGGACACCCCGTCAATATTTATAAAAAAAAAAACGATTGGTTTTAAACAAGCCATGTGCCAAATTATCATTCACAGTATATGTGTCAAACTTCAAATACATTGTTGAGAGTAAAGTACCAGTTACATCCATTTGGCTGATTTGCGCAAATGTCCCTTTTGTAGGCCACAATTGGATTTAGTCCTTATTTAACAAAAACCTTCAAATATAGCTCGTGATAAGTTATTCCTTTTTGGAAAACGTTAGATTAGAATCTAATATTTGCTCATATAATTTTAGTTTGTTCATATAATATTAGACTCTGGTCTAACATTTGTAATAAATTTTGTATATAGCAAGGTCTAACTGTTATCATAAGATTTTCAGTCTGTTCAAAAGGAAATTTTAGACCGTGACCTAAAAAGTCTATCAATTACAAGAGAAATAAAAAAATAATAATAAAAAAGAATCATTTACTAAACAGGCGAGACAAGATAAATAACACTAGGTAGTCACTCTAAAGGGCTGCTATTTAAAAATTAGCCAGTGCATTTTGAATTTTAATTTTTAAGTTCAATTTTTTGAGGTAAAAGTGTCCTGAATTGTTCTGAAGTTAAGATTCTTAATTTAAAATTACAGGACAAAATAAGTGTTGGCTAATTTCTAAATAGCATCCCTAAAAATGACTATTCCTAGATAGAAAACAGACTAGCCCATATGCCTTTAAGAATGAGCCTGGGCCGGTAATATGGGCTAAGGCTTATCAGGTTGGACTTGCCGGTCATTGACTAACCTGGCCACTAGACATGTAGGGGTCGTTTGGTATGAGGTATAAGAAGGTATAAGGGTGGTATAAAAATTTAATACCACCTTAATATCGGTATAACTTATACCTTCTTCTTAGAAATTATGCAATTGTCATTCTTAATACAACATACCAAACAATGAATAAACAACAATCCCATCATAACTAATCCCAGCATAACTTATCCCAATATAACTTATACCGACATAACTTATACCGTTATAAATCATATTCCAACCAAACGACCCCATAGTGTAAGGTGTAAAAGAAGAATGAACTTAAATAATTGCCTATCTATCTGCTTAAACTAGAAAATAACTTGGTCGATGCATATATATATATATATATATATATATATATATATATATATAGATAGATAGATAGATAGATAGATAGATAGATAAAAAAAACTAGAAAAGTAGTTTAAAAATATTTGGGAGTTTTTTTGGATATTACTGAAGGAAATGAGAACCTAATTTCTAGGATGATGGTTGCTATAAGAGAAAAGAGAGAGGATTTTAAATATTTTTTGCTATTTTTAAGGAAAATAACTTTGATAAAGCTTATTTTTAGTATGATGGTTGAACCATTAGAATAGAGGATAACTTTAGGCTGCCATATGCCAAATCCTAAAACGTTGGCTTTTTTATGCCAATTGTTGGACCTAGTTGTCATGCCATGCCAAATACCCCTTTTAAATTTATTTATAGCCCAAACCGATTAAAACTTGAACCGGTTTGGCGGGTCAAATGGGCTTGGATTAATTTTGGGGGGAAGTGCACGCTCAGCCACTAATAACACATGTATTTACTTTTAAGCCACTGTCTAAAATGTCTTTAGTCTTTAGCCACTGCTTTAATAAACTTTAACTGCCCGGACGAAAATACCCTTCTGCTCATGTCCTTAACTTTTGAACTTAACTTCGGGACTTCGGGACTACATGTCCTTAACTTTTGAACTTGTAACTCTAAGTTCAGGACTTCAGGACTACATGTCCTTAACTTTTGAACTTGGAACTCTAAGTTCAGGACTTCAGGACTACATGTCCTTAACTTTTGAACTTNAAATTATATTAAAATCGCAAAAATATAACAAATAATCTATTTATAATATTTATAAATTATAATTCAACTATGAATAATACGTAAAGTATGACATATATCATTATGCAAATTAGCTGCAATGTCGTTACAACTCAAACATCAAAAGTAATGTATTCGATGCTAAATTTTATATGTATCTCTTAATTAAGGAGTAATGGATCTTGAAAGCGATATTATAATTTGATATTTTTTTTAAAATACTCCTTTTATTTAATATTCTTTCTATTTGAAAGAGAATTTATATTAAAACATAATTCTCAATTTAAAAATATGATTCTCTAGCATCATTTATTTTTAAGTTTCAACAAGTTAATAAAGTGACACATAATTCACCATACTATACTATGATAACTAATTATTTATAAATAGTTATTAGCTAATATTGAGATATTAAATTAATAAGTATTGTATCTCGTAAATGTAAAAAAAATATTTAGGAAAATAATTATAAAAGAAAAACTATGGACTATTATATATATAATAAAGACATAATAAAATTTAATAAATAAAAATTTTTTAAATGAAAGATTTATTTAAAATTTATTATCACGGCAGTCTTTGGGGATAACGTGCAATAATTTTTATTTTAATTATGACATAAAATACTCTCAACTTAATAATTTATAATTAAGAAAAAAGTAATTTTGAATAGACAATGGTTTGTTAAGAAAATTTGAGGATTTACAAGGTTAGTTACACACAATTGCATAAAGTTCTATTAGGCGAGCCCAGTACGCTGCGCGTTTGGCGTGTCCGGAGCGTAAGGCCCGAAGACCTAGACGTAAGTCTCACGGAACTAAGTCCCACACATAAGTCCAGGGGCATTTTACGAGTGCTCCATCCGGAGACGAGTTTCCATTCTGCCTTTTAAAACAGAAATTATAATATTTTAGTAAATTAATATTATAATTTTGACCTCCAAAATATCCCCATGCCTTGTGGAGTTGTGGTGCCCCAACGACACGGAATCTGCAAAATTCCTTCATTATCTGAAGGAAAGTCCGATAAAAAGCATAACTTGCTTTGTTCAGACAAAATTGGGACCCACTCCCAAGTCCTTTCACCTATATCGATGAATCATGTGAATCGCATCGCTCCTCGGTTTCATTCGTTCTTTTTGTTTCTTAGAAAAAAATATTATTCCAATATTATTCACATTCAATTTTAACAAAATCAATCAATATAAACGTATATCTGCTACATACATTTTTTTTTTACTTTTTGGCGTCTTCATTATTCTTTTATGTTGAAATAATACTCAATTATTTTTAATTTATATGATCAATTTTTTTAGTTTATTCCAAAAAATAATTTAGTTTTAACTTTAGAGATAATTTAAGTTAGAGTATCTTTGTTAGGAAGGAATATATTTTCCGGAAAAGATTTTTAAATTTTTCAAGTATGATTGGCTCAAATATTTTGAAAATTAGCTTCCTCGTGAACTCATTTTCCTTTCCTCCTCCACCCTGCTCGCCACCCCTACCTTCACACCACCACCCCAGCCCCTAGATTCTCACCTACCACCCCTGTCTCCCTCTCTTACTCATTTCGTTTTCTATAGTATTTGCTTAAATTATATATTTTTCGAAAAGTATTTTCTAACTACCTAACCAAACACTAAAATAATAAGTAAGAAATCACTTATTTCCTAAGAAAACATACCAAACACACCTTTAAACTGTTCAGTTTATCCTTATTAATAAAATTTTATATACACACAAATATCAAGGTATGTTTAATACTACAAGTTTTAAAAATTTTATAATCATAAAATATTATGATATATTGAAGACCATAAGTTTAGTCCTTCTGTTTCAAAAAGATTATTCTAATTTAACTCGATACAAACTTTAATAAAAAAGAGAATTTTTTTGAAATATATGGTCTTAAATAAAGCATAACATTTGTGTGGCCGTAAAACTTTTGAAATTTATGGTATTAATAAGAAGTATTTATAGTAATATATAATTTGGTGAGTGTAAGCCTTTTTTTTGGTTTTTCACGTGGCCTTTTTCGTTTTCCACGTTAACTTCTAAAAATCTACAAAGACTTCTCATCCACACCGTACATGTGTCATGACATCTCCCATCTCGACGAGCAAACTCAGCAATCTAAGCGGGCCCAAGTGACACGTCATTTTCTACCCAACTAACGGACGAGCGAGTTAAATTTCGTGGCGCGTGATTTTCCAAATATTCAGTAATCATTTTTAGTTCCACTTTCCTTGTCCTTGTTCAAAAAAATTCCGCCACATAAAGCCTCTACAACTACCCACCACAAAGAACTCCAAATTACATAAAGGTCCCTGGAGTTCATCAAATTTACGCACTTTACCACTCCCCTGCGGCTCCTTCAAGTAGGTGCCGCCAGTTTTTTTTACCTAGTGTTTTAAACTGTTTTTTTCCCTATTTTCCGGTGACCGGAAAATGTTGGAAGTAGTGCCTCTTCACGGCGGCGATCACGGCGCCGGCGCCGGCGCCGAAGAGGAGCTTTTATTGCTGGAGACAAACAATGCCGACCGGTCATGGAGATTAAACTTCGACGAGTTGCGGTTATCGTCTGAATCCAAAGAGAAGCCTCCACGTGGCCTCCATGATTGCCTTGGAGTTTTAAGTACATTCTCCACCTCTCTATGCGACGCCGTTTTGCGTGTTATTCTCTGCTAATTTCTTTACTAGTCGCATTAGGTTGACGTAAGAACAGTAAATTAATGGAGACACCACTTGAATAGAGCGGAATTTATATAAAGGAACTATACAGCTGATATTTGACTGATATTCTGTTGCGCGTAGGATTTTACTAATTGCGGAAATTTTCGAACACTAAGCTTACTCCTTTAGTTGAGTTAATTAGTGGGGACTCTTTTTATACTTTTCAGTTTCAGAAAGTATTTTCTTGCCACGTGGGTTCAATTTTCTGAAGAACAAAATGATTCTTGTGTGGATGGTGTAAATTTGCTAAAGGTGTTAAGCTATAATGCTATATTCACTTTTTATTGTTCTCTGGACAATTGAACTTGCTTATGGGCAGTTCACTGGTTTGGAGCAAACTGGCATATATTTGTATGTAGATGGATGATTCTTTTTGGATAAGTTTTAGATGGATAGTTATTGTTATAAGAACATGAGCTTTAGAGCTCAAATTTAATGCGTTTCAGCACTTCAGTTTACTGAAAATAAGAAGGGAACTTTAGCTGAGTGCGCTCGCCAGGTAAGTTTATGTGGTTAGGTCAGTGTAATAGAACCAGAGGCAGACCTGTGTTAATATGTGAGGGTGCACTGGCACCCGTAAGTGTCCGATGAAACTATATGGAGTATATAAAATTCTTATAACTCTACTATGTATTTTTGGTGGCAACCGCAATTACAAAGTAGGGGTAGGAGGATTTGTTAAAATATGTGTTTTTTACCTTAGTTGTTGTCTTCTCATATTGAATACTTACAAAATTGAACCAAATTAATGCAATACCATCAAACCAAATGAATGCACTTTAGACGATATGACTTGTTCGAATCTTGAGTGCACCTGCAATCTTCAATTCCTTGATATGCCTCTGAATAGAAGAGGTTAATTGGTGCGTGTGTGTTTGCATGTGACATGAGCCAGTCAAAAGATTGTTTCAAGAGGCTACTTTTGCATTCTGTTGAATTGTTAAATTATCATATGAGAATGTATGTTTGGAATTGATAATGGTACTTTAACAATTTATAATCGGCTTTGGTATGAGTGGTGGCCTCTAAATGCAGGTCACCCTTGGTTCTCATCAACTCTTTGGTTTAGTACTTATAGTCTTATAGTTATAGGAGGCTATAGTGCTATATAGAGATGCATGTAGAAGGGATTTACTGAATGCTTTCACTGTAAGACATGGGGTGTTCTTGAAGGGACAGATTATGACGCTGTGGTTTCCTTTGGTGCTTACAGGTCAAGAAGACAACATTGCTGAGTACTACCAGCAACAGGTAGAAATGCTCGAGGGCTTCAATGAAATGGACGCCTTGACCGATCGTGGTTTTGTACCTGGGATGTCAAAGGTTTTGATAGTTTTATCTGCTTCTTCTTTATGTATAAGACCAAAATTTGTTTCTTCTCTAGATGTAATCATTCTTATCTTATTATATAACTTGATAACCCGATCATCTAATTAAAAAAGAGTTTCTCAAAGCTTGGACTGACAAGGTCAATCAATTTGGTTGCAGGAAGAGAGGGAGAAAACGGCTAAAAATGAAACATTTGCCATTAGGATATCAAATGTTGCAAACATGGTTCTCTTTGCCGCTAAAGTATATGCATCGGTCAAGAGTGGTTCATTGGCCATCATAGCATCCACATTGGATTCGCTGCTTGATCTTCTCTCTGGTTTCATATTATGGTTTACAGCTTTCTCCATGCAGACACCTAACCCATATCAATATCCAATTGGAAAGAAACGTATGCAGCCGTTGGTTAGTGCTGCTGCTTTTATTCTCTAAGTTTTTTACATTTACTATGCCTTTAATCGGGGCATTTTGCACTTGTCACTTGCTATTGGGTAAATGCTGATGACTGCATATAACAACAATTGCCTTGCTTGTTCATGTATTTAAAAGTTGTCTAACAAGGTAATTACACTATGCAATTTTGTCACATTTGATTTTACAGGGACCGTAAACTCTGTCGCTGCTAGTTTTATTTTGTGGTCATGTTAAGCCTTAATATTCATTTTGTTTGTTGATGCAGAGGCAACTTAGCCTTCTTCTTGAGATCAATCTCTAATCACCACATGACGTAGTCCAGAAAACAAAGGAGAATTTTTCACCTAAAGTATGGAACCACGAGAAATGCAAACTTAATGCATCTAAGACAAATATGAAGTAAAACAACATAATATCTGATAGTAACCAACTATAAAAGGTTGAAATAAAAGAAAAAACGTGCAAACTTTCTATAATGACCTAGCAGGCAGCTTACACGACTGCAATAAAACCTACAGAGATGCAAATCTTCAGCATCTCTTTCTCCAATAGCTGTCTTCTAAGTGTAGCCTCAATGGCGAACCACACTGAGAATGTTTGTGAGACAGAAAGAGAGAGAGCACTGGCTGCTGTGACTGACAGTATAGAATGAGAGAGGGTGGGTTTACGGGAAGATTATGAAGCGTTTATTAGTAATTTGGCAAAAATTTAGGCGTTCTGTTTTTACTGTGGAGGGATGAATATGCCCCCTGTTTATGATCTGTGATGGATACTGGAGCTTCTAGCCTCCCATCAGGTTAGGTTGATGCCATTGTGTTCGCTCTAAGTAGCGATCCTCAAATTCAATTAGTTAATCGTATTTTGGTGATATGCATATAGACATCTAGATTATCACTCCTGATGTTACCTATAAAAAGTACTATTATCTCCTGATGTTTCTACTTGTCCAATGTCTGAACATAACTAAGGAGGTTACCGTAGATTTGAGTTACACTTGGATTCTTACAGTCTTTCTTGCTGTTCATGTATTCCTGTTCTCTCATTTGGATTATCAAAATTGACAACAAGCACTTGCTCTTTTATTGTTTCGTGAATAACTAGTCTGGGCATGAATTTGGTGTAGTACTACTCATAACAGTTGCATTTAGTTAGTAAGCTTAGGATGCACATCTTAAGGAGGAGAAGTGCTTTCTAACTTCGTGGTTTGTAGATCATTTGCCTAATATCTGTAAATAAATAACTCTGAGAAGTTTTACTTTGGTGCTAAATACTTAAATTGCCATCGTGGAGATACTAGTTCATTTAATTTGTGTTATCTATTCAGATTTTTGACCTTCTGGTTTAAATCAGTTTGATAATTCCTTAGGATACAGGGATGATCCCACTGTAAAAATCTAGTCTGCAAACAAGTTTTCCCCTGCATGCTGGCTGATACTATGAAGTTGAATGATTTTACATATTGTTTGATTTTTCATGGAGCTAGAGCAAAGTGCAGGTCTATGGCTATCTTCAAAGTGCATGTTGTGTAATTCCCAATGGGTTCAAAATGAACTGTGTTTTAACTTTCACTTTTACTTGTATTTCTACATATCTGGTGATAACAACGTACAGACATGAATAGAGATATTGTATGATTGTTTTCTATTCTACGTTGGGAGATGGTCCAATTTAACTTTGAAAAATGATTCACAGGGAATCCTTGTTTTTGCTTCTGTCATGGCGACTTTGGGACTACAGATAATTCTGGAGTCTATGCGTACACTAATATCTGATGTAAGTTGTGGCTTATAAATTGCAATTTTATTGCTTTATTATGTTGTTGTCTGGTTGAAAATTACATGCATGGATTCTTATAATTATTCCTTGACACTGTACAACGGCAAATGTTATAAACATTGACCTTCTCACAGGAGTCTGATTTCAACCTCACCAAGGAGCAGGAGAGATGGGTTGTTGGGATTATGGTCTTTGTGACTTTGGTGAAACTAGTTTTAATGTTGTATTGCCGGTCTTTTACCAATGAGATTGTGAAAGCATATGCCCAGGATCATTTCTTTGATGTTATCACAAACATCATTGGTCTCATTGCAGCATTGCTTGCTAACTACATTACCGACTGGATAGATCCCGTTGGAGCTATGATTGTAAGTTCTATCTCCCTGATTCTATTCCACCAACATCCTCCCCCCTTAAAAAATGTGGAAAGAAAAGGGAAAAGTTTTAATGTGTCTGTCAATCCTCTCGGTTTAAACAAGGTTCGTGGCTTTAAGCAATTTTCCCTCTGCTGCAGCTTGCATTGTATACCATTCGAACTTGGTCAATGACTGTACTGGAGAATGTGAACTCTCTAGTTGGCAAGTCAGCTGCACCAGAATATCTGCAAAAGCTGACTTACCTCTGCTGGAACCATCACAAGGCCATAAGGCATATAGATACTGTGAGGGCTTATACATTTGGTTCTCACTACTTTGTTGAAGTTGATATCGTCCTGCCTGCGGACATGCCCTTGCAAGAGGCACATGATATTGGCGAGTCATTGCAGGAGAAGCTTGAACTATTGCCTGAGATTGAGCGGGCCTTCGTTCATCTTGACTATGAATACAGCCACAAACCTGAACATGCACAGGCATACCAATAGGCAAAAGGATATTGTAACATCTTCTCTAACCACTGTACCTAATACCTCTGCATAAATGAACTCTGATATGCTGTTCGAGATCGGCTGATCTGGTGATTGCTCTTTAAAAGAAAATCTGGAAAAGAAAAGGCTGCTATGATCTGGATGTTTCCTAGAACAAGTAATATGAATTATTACTTTGTTAATTTACCTTGCCTATTCATATATATAACATGATTTCTCAGTTTGCTTGCTCCTGGTATATTGCAACTTATATTAGAGAAATTTGGGTTTCATTAGTCAAGCCTGATAAGGTGATTTGCATAATTTGTTGGTAAAAATGTAAAATGGGAAATTTACCAGAAACTTATTTACCACGTTTATATAGGTTTGTACTTAATTAAATTATATATCTATATTTACCATTTATGTGCAAAACAATAAAAAAGAAGAAAGTAGAAGATTCCTTAAATTTAGCATCTCATTCTGTTTCCTTCACCAACCACCTCCTTAAAATTCGAATTTTATCTATTTTTCAAAAGAGTTCACATCTCATTCCCTCTCCCTCGTACTTATCATCCAAAAATAGGTAAATAAGTTTCTTTTGTAGTATATATAAGAAAAACTTCAATTGATGTCATGCATAGGCAAAAGTACTAACGATGAAATTGCCTTCTTTGCTCAGATTCAGAAGGAATAGACTAAGAGTAGGGGCAGGCATAGTAGTGTTAAATTGACTCACTAAAACAGATGTTGCCAATTAAGGAGCATGGAAAAAGCTGCAGAGACCCTTCTCATTTGGAAAAAAAAATATTCAGCTAGCGTTTGACCATAAATTTCAAATTTGTTTCGAAAAATCTGATTTGGGTGAAGTTTGGTTTGAAGATGAAAATGTGTTTGGACATACGTTTTCAAAACATATTTTCCAACTTTATTTTGGAAAAACATGTATATAATTCCCAAGTTTTGGAATTTTGGCTCAAAATCAGCAATTGGGGTGATTTTGGGATTTGGGATTTTACCAAAATGTGGGCAAAATTTATGGCCAACATGAGTTTTGAAAATAAATCCCAAATTTATTTTGGCAAAACTCATGGCCAAACGGATCCTCAAATAATGCTGGTGGATGAATGGATAATACAGGTTTGAAGAAGTGCTATTTATGAGAAATGAAGTCAAATTTCCTTCAAGTTTTACACCAAATATTTAGGGTTTAGGAAACTTAGGGAGAATTCTAGGGTTTAGCAACTCATTTTTCAACAAGAGTTACTGCAAAATTTCAATCTTGTATCATCTATGAAAAGAAAGTAAAATTGCATTATCTTAAGCTTGGACATACAGGAAGAGTGAGACATGGCAACTCTGCCTGCAGATGTTGAGATTTGAGAATATCAAGAGTTGTGTGCTTCATTGAATCAATCACTACTTAAAATTAATCAAGTGATTCTCCTGCTTAACTGAAATGTAAATTCGATCAATTCTTAACTTAAAAAGTAAGGAGTAGATGAACAACCTCTCTTAGCATAGAAAATATGGGCACTTAATTTCTGGATAATTAAAAAACCAAAAGTATAATTATCCAAGGCTGATAGGCAGTTGAAGATACCAAATATAGGATCCTCTACACTAGTCACAAAACCAGATGTATAACTGTTTATCCGAACAGTATTGTTTGTATATTATTTCCGAATTTAGGAGATGCCCGAGGAAGCTGCTTCAACTTGTTTGAGATTTTCGAGAATCGTCTTTCACCAACACTTGTCCCTAGTCCTACCAAAAGGATGGCCTTCCTGAGTAAAGGGGCAAAGGCAAGTATAAACTTTACAAAGCACATTTACATCAGTTGTTGAACCATGCAACTTTTTTATTTGCAAAATTTGAAGGTTATTGCAGCCTGAGCCTGGTCCTTGAAGAACATTTACATCCAATTTCATCTCACTTTTCTTTCTCTTGCCCAACTGAAAGTAGTTAATTAGTTAAAAGTAAAATCAGTAATGTTTTCAGTTATAAACAACTCATGAACTCAACTACTTACAAGAAATATAAGTTCCTTCAAATTGGGGCAACTTCTGAGGATGCATACACGGGGAGATATTTGATTTTCACTGTCGAAATTGTAATTGTGAAGATAGACAACTCTCAATCTGCTGAGGCTCGTGGGAAGCCTATCCACTTCAGTACCAGAAGCAAAAGCCTATACAACAAAGAACCGCAAAGTAATAACGTTAAATATTACTACAAAATTTTGGAAACAGCCTCTCTACTCCTCGGAGTAGAGAGTAGGGGTAAGGTCTGCGAACACACTACTCTCCCCAGACCCCACTAGTGAGATTTTACTGGATCGTTGTTGTATTACAAAATTATGCATCATTCTTAGTTACCTTGAGGAAGTACCGGTCCAGAAGAAGAAAACTAATGTTAGGCCAGCTGCTGAGAAGATTTGTCAATTTCACTGCTTTATCTTGTCTGTTTTGTGAAACTTCTTCTTCGAATGAAATTGCAAAAAGTTTCAGCTTCACACAGTCCATGAAGGGACCCAGTTTAAGGGCGTTATGAGTGCCACAGCCATAGAATGTTAAAAGTAAAAGTTCAGGTGCATATATATTTAAGTGACGAAGACCGCTGCATTGCATAAAATTCAGTCGCTCAAGGTTTGGCATCCAGAGGGAAGTGTCTAATTCAAAGGACACTTGCTTTAGCTTAAGCCTTTTGAGCTTGTGGAAACCCCTAAAACTGCATGGCGGCCTGAAAATGCAGTTCCACAGGTCTAACCGTTCTAGTTCCACACCGTACACACAGGAAGGCAATCTGTATGGAGCCTTGTAATTGGGTAGGTTATGAAGGATGAGATCAGTGAGACCATTTCCTGACAACAATAGCATCCATTCATCAACAACTGAGTGCTGAGAAGAATGTATTATTGAGTGGAACTTCTTAATTACTCCATGGCGTTGCGAGACAATTGTACTAATGACATCGTTGTGGCGGATAGCTTTCTCTTTTTGTAAAACTGTGCACCAAATGCGAGTGTTGTGACCCGTACGGCTGACTTGGAGGACACCTCACTTGCCAGCAAGGACAGTCACTTGACCAGGCACGTGGACAAACACAATCAGCAAGAGAGTGACGTTCTATGTAGGAGTAAACGCGTGAGAGTGCCATCCAAAAAACTAACTGATTTCATTGTGGAGAAAGGGTGATGATAGCGTGAAGAGGAGCAGTAGTGCGCAGCTTAAGAAGAATACCAGATAGTATAAAAGAAGGATTAGTGAATGTAGTAGGGAAAATGGGTTATGTTGAGTCTTTTATTCTCTCATCCTAGTCTAATTTTCTCTGTTTCCCATCCCTTCTTCCTTCTCTGTTCTCTTACTTTTGGTTACTGTTTTATTGCAATTTTCCCTTAAGGCTTCATTGTAATTCACTGATTGAATCAATACAATCTGCTAGTTCCTATTCTTGTGAGTTAGCAATTCAGTTGTTACATTGGTGCTTTCATCCAGAGGTCTCTAATGGAGGACCAAAAATCACTCAAGACCTTCGTTGAAGAATCGATTCTGGAGATGAAAGAGTCTGTCACCAAGGTGACAGATTCTGTCGCCAAGGACCTCGCTGAATTTCGCGAAATACTGATGGATGTGGTATCAACCAAAGCTCCGGCAGGACTTCTCCATCGATACCCAGCCATGAACGTAACTCGTCAGGACCATGCACCAGTGACCACCACTCTCTGTCACAAGCCAGCATCAGTGGAGTTTGGTCGATTTCGAGGTGATAATCCGGAGGCGTGGATATTTCAAGCGGAGCGATATTTCGATTTCTATAAAATCGAAGAGGACCAGAGGCTCACTATGGCTTCATTTTCTCTTGATGTTGAAGCACTTGAATGGTATAGATGGTTATTCAGAAACAAACAACTGGTGGATTGGCCTCATTTTGCTGCTAAGGTGAGGATCCGATTTAAGCAAAAAGGTCTCGAGCCGGCGGAGGGGAGATTGGCAAAACTTCGGTAAGTCACCATCGTCTCGGAGTTGCAGGGGCGATTTGAAACCATCGCTAATGAGACTGATGAGATCTCTGAGAAGCTCATAATCCGACTCTTTATTTTTGGGCTCCGGGAAGACATTAAGAATTCAGTTTTGAGTCATAAGCCCAAAACGTTTGACGAGGCCCTTNTAATATAAAAATTGTGTCAACAAGCACATGCAACAAAACTAAAGTAAGGGATCAAATGTATGCCACCAACACTCCAACGGTATAAAAAAACAAAACAAAACAAAACACATCATCACGGCTAATTTTGTTTTCCATTAATTTGAACTTCATTCCCTTGATCTTTAAATATGATCATTCCTTAAATGTGGTAGAGGAAATAATAGGGTAAGGGACTTAGGGTAAAGGAAAGGGTATAGATTAGGGAAAATAATATTGTATAGCCGCTTTCAAAATAGTAGCGGAATATATATACATTCTGTATGTTATATTAATCTACACAAATAGGTAATTACTCATTTAACAAGTGTCTACAGTCTAGGGGTGTGCATTCGATTTATCGATTCGATTTTGACCCTTATCGATAATTACTTATCGATTATCGATTTGTACATATGCTTATCGTTATCGTTTTAATAAGGTTTTGATTTTTTCGATTTCGATTTCGATAACAAATAATCGATTCAATTTATTGATAAACCGATTCGAATGCACACCCCTAAAGGTGAGGATCCGATTTAAGCAAAAAGGTCTCGAGTCGGCGGAGGGGAGATCGGCAAAATTTCGGCAAGTCACCACCGTCTCAGAGTTGTAGGGGCGATTTGAAACCATCACTAATGAGACTGATGAGATCTCTAAGAAGCTCATGATCCGACTCTTTATTTCTGGGCTCCGGGAAGACATTAAGCATTCAGTTTTGAGTTATGAGCCCAAAACGTTTGACGAGGCCCTTAATCAGGCCCATATACATGAGAGGCGGATCCAAGCTGAGAAGGGGCCACTCCGACTCGCCCTTGCTAATAGAGGGACACCGCTTTTACCCAGCCCTAATTCAACTTCTCTCTATCACAACCCTTTTTCATCGACAGGTACTGCCAACACTTCCATTCCGGCACCGCGACCACCTTTGAAGCGCCTCACTCATGCGGAACTCCAGAACCGCCGTGATCGTGGGCTATGTTACTATTGTGAGGAAAAATACATAGCCGGTCATAAATGTAAGAACCCTCCACGCCTACTTCTTCTCGCTGATGGATCCGACATAGATCCAACTTTACCGAAACATTCATTTCGGACGATATATTGGCAGAAGAATTGCAATGCTTGGAGGTACAGGAACATTCAGCCATCTCTTATCACGCCCTAGCTGGTGGAAATTCCTCTTCCACGCTTCATTTTCTAGGCCACGTGAATGGTTCTCCGATACAAGTTTTAGTGGATGGAGGGAGCGACCACAATTTTATCCAGACTAGAGTGGCAGATTTCTTGCAGTTGGTAGTTGAAACTATACCTACATTTTTAGTGGTAGTGGGAAGCGGCCAACGACTCAGGTGTGAGGGGGTTGTGCGACACGTTCCGATCACAATCCAAGGATGTAATCTTCCGATGGACCTTTATGTGCTACCTTTACATGGGGCAAATGTAGTGTTGGGGACAGCTTGGCTCGCTACATTAGGACGAGTGGTTACTGATTATGCGGAACGAGTATTTGAATTTTTCCATCAGGGCACTACTGTTAGCTGGAAGGGGATGGCTTCTTCAAGTGCGCCAACCAATCCAGTTACACAGTCTCCGGAGATGTACTGCTACTGATGCCATTTCCTCTTACTATTGCTTGCAAATATACCACCTACACCAGCTGAAAATGAGTCGCTCAGTCCGGCACTTAGTTGCTTGCTGGACTCTTTTGCAGATGTTTTCCAAAAACCACAGGGGCTACCACCGTCCAGGCCACAGGACCATGCAATTCACATGGTTGCCGGGGCAGAGCCAGTCAACGTCAAGCCATATCGATATCCTTACTTTCAGAAGCAAGCGATGGAGCAGTTAGTAATTGAAATGCTTCGAGAAAGGGGTTATTCGAGCTAGTACGAGTCCCTTCTCCTCGCCGATATTACTGGTTCGCAAAAAGGATGGTACGTGGCGATTTTGCGTTGACTATAGAGCTTTAAATGCTTCACCATACGAGATGGGTTTCCTATTCCAACAATTGATGAGTTATTTGATGAGCTGCACGGTGTTGTTTATTTTTCCAAGCTTGACCTGTTATCTGGGTACCATCAGATTCGAGTTAGGCCGGAGGATGTGGCAAAGACGGCCTTCCGGACTCACGAAGGGCATTACGAGTTCCTAGTAATGCCATTTGGTTTATCCAACGCTCCATCCACTTTTCAAGCGACAATGAATGAGGTGTTCAGACCAATACTACGTCGTTTTGTGCTCGTGTTCTTCGATGACATTCTAGTGTATAGTCCCACGTGGGAGGATCACTTGAAGCACTTGCAATCAGTGTTGAGCATACTACGACAACACCATCTTGTGGCGAAACGAAGCAAGTGTCAGTTTGGCCAAACTTCAATCGACTATCTCGGGCATGTCATTTCAGCTCAAGGCCTTAGTGTGGATCAGGCAAAAATTGCAGCCATTCAGCAATGGCCTGAGCCTAGGAATGTGAAGGAAGTACGAAGTTTCCTAGGTCTAGCAGGGTACTATAGAAGGTTCATACATCACTACGCAGCAATGGCGAGTCCTCTAACTGATCTTCTGCGCAAGGATTCCTTTAATTGGACAACCCCAACACAGGCAGCATTTGAGACACTCAAAGGCAAGCGTAGCTCTACACCTGTTCTAGAGTTACCGGACTTCACTCAGGAGTTTCAACTTAAGACAGATGCGTCCGGACAAGGAATTGGAGCAGTGCTTTCGCAAAGGGGACATCCAGTTGCTTACTTTAGTCAGAAATTGAGTGCTAGAATGCAGGGTGCATCCACCTATAATAGGGAGATGTTTGCAATCACATAGGCCGTAAGCAAGTGGCGACAGTACTTGCTGGGCAGGAAATTTACCATCTATATGGATCAGCAATCGCTCAAGAACCTGACCAATCAGACCACTCAAACTCCGGAACAACAGAAATGGCTAAGCAAGTTGGTGGGTTTCGACTTCCAAATAATCTACCGCCCGGGCAAATTAAATCAAGCAGCAGATGCCCTTTCCCGTACTTCAGAANTTGGTGCTTTCATCCAGAGGTCTCTAATGGAGGACCAAAAATCACTCAAGACCTTCGTTGAAGAATCGATTCTGGAGATGAAAGAGTCTGTCACCAAGGTGACAGATTCTGTCGCCAAGGACCTCGCTGAATTTCGCGAAATACTGATGGATGTGGTATCAACCAAAGCTCCGGCAGGACTTCTCCATCGACACCCAGCCATGGACGTAACTCGTCAGGACCATGCACCAGTGACCACCACTCTCCGTCACAAGCCAGCATCAGTGGAGTTTGGTCGATTTCGAGGTGATAATCCGGAGTCGTGGATATTTCAAGCGGAGCGATATTTCGATTTCTATAAAATCGAAGAGGACCAGAGGCTCACCATGGCTTCATTTTATCTTGATGATGAAGCACTTGAATGGTATAGATGGTTATTCAGAAATAAACAACTGATGGATTGGCCTCATTTTGCTGCTAAGGTGAGTAGGGGTGTGCATTCGATTTATCGATTCGATTTTGACCCTTATCGATAATTACTTATCGATTATCGATTTGTACATATGCTTATCGTTATCGTTTCAATAAGGTTTCGATTTTTTCGATTTCGATTTATCGATTTTGGGGGCTTATCGATTAGGTTATCGATTACACCAATAAGAAAATTTGTGGGATTCCACGGAAAGTATATCGCTATAAACGCGCCTAACTAATATGGACAAAAAGAAGCTAAAACAAGACGAACACCATTTATAATATAAAAATTGTGTCAACAAGCACATGCAACAAAACTAAAGTAAGGGATCAAATGTATGCCACCAACACTCCAACGGTATAAAAAAAAAACACATCATCACGGCTAATTCTGTTTTCCATTAATTTGAACTTCATTCCCTTGATCTATAAATATGATCATTCCTTAAATGTGGTAGAGGAAATAATAGGGTAAGGGACTTAGGGTAAG